ATCCCTGTGCGCTTCTTTAACAGGGTGAATGTCCACTTTCAGGCCCACTCATCTGTACCATGCTTCCTCTCTGTGCGCAGGCAAAAGTAGCTTTAGTTAGTTTCATTTTTAATTTGCATATTTAGTTTGCATATTGCACATGCCCTACATATGACTAGGTTTTGAGATTTCTAAGCATATCTAGATGGTGTAAATGTTTTTTTTCCTCAACTGACTTTACTTAAAAATTAACAAAACAAACCTATTTATTCAGCTGGAAAAGAAAAAAAAATCATCATGGACTCCAGAAACAAGTGCTGCTGTCATTGTTCCGAACCTTGTTTTTTCAATGATTGTAATCATATAAAATATCCAACAGGCTAAGACATGTAACACAATACATTTAGACACATGATTTAGACACTTTGTAGTGCAAAAGCGTTTGTTAGAAGGTGGAGTTCTGTGGACCTGGACTTAGGCAGTCACTCGAGCAGAAACCATGCATGCACTTTCATTGCTTATTATAGTTAGTCCAGGCAGTTTATAATTTGGTTTGGGATGACTGGATGATCCTGCAGGTTACCTAACACAAGCCTTTTCCATGTTTAGAGCGCAGTTCCAACTATTTGCACACCTGAGGTGCCTCCAGGGCAGCAAGATTCAGGCATATCAGCATGACTGAGGCCAGCCAAACTTCAGCACATGCTTAGTACAGGAAGAATCTGACACTGAACTAACCTCTATTGAAAGCCTTGATCTGTCTATGAGTAAACCTCAAAGATCTGCATTTCTAATTCCAAAAATTCAGTTACTAATATTGTTATTTAGGATGTTGAAAGCTGAAAAGTGGGTTTCTGGTTCTATGAAAAGGCGGGGTTCTGCTTCTCTGTAAAAGCAGAAAACATATCCTAAAAGGATTCTCAATCCCTGAAGGTTCTCTGTTTATGGAAAATAGTTAATGCACATTTTTGCAATTTCTGTATGTATATGTCACTTCACTTTCACAACCAGTTCAGAGTAAAATATAAGCAATGCCACTACTTTTAGAAACAAGTGCATATGTTAATAGTAATAGCAGGTGCATTTTCAAGATGAGTGACAACTAAATTATTACAAAACAAAGTTAAAAGAATTACTTTCAGTTTGAGTACATACAAGCAAATGTGAATTGTCTTGGTTTTTGTCTGTGCACCTTGTAGAAAGTAATGCAGATAGCTGAATGGCATTCTTTATGTTATAGCCTGTCCTGTACCATTTCTACAAGCAATTTACATAAAACCTTACATTATCATGTTTCAAGGCTAAAAACGTTGCATTCGTTTTACCATCTCCCAAAATGAAAGAATTAATCAGTTCTCATAACCGACACCAAATATTTGTGTGCTTCCATTCTCCTCTTATGCACATACTCCATTCATAAGCATATTTTCTCAGTTTTTTTCTCTCAGTTTTACTTGCCTTGTATATAAACATGATTGCTGTGAATGGTGTAATATGCAGTTGTAACTGGTTTGTACCATCTTCAATGGGCAGTAGTTCAATGTCTCTTTCTGAGTGTTGGAATTATGAGTCAAATGTTTGTGTACACTCAACACATTGTCAGATATGAAATAAATGTGGAACTTATGCAACACTATGAATTACTTTTGTATGTTTATTGATCCAAGTCATTATTTTATGCATGAGAAAACTAGGAAAACTCAAGCTGAATGTATTCTTGATTTTATATGTAAAATGGTCCAGCCTGTTTTCACCATGGAATAGAAACAAATTAAATAGGTAATTTTTATTTCAGGATTCTGACTTGATTTCTAGCAATTGTAGTTTATATATCACAATTATGAGCTAATATCTAGAAATGCAGAGGTTTTTTTTTTTCCTCAGAAATTTCCTTTTCTTTGAGTTCCTATTGTTATCTCAGAATTAAACAATTTTTTTAATCAGAATTCCTGTTTATACCTCTTTTAAGGGCTGACTTTTGTCAACGAAAGCAAGTCAGAATTGTGATGTAAAACTTTTATTTTTTATTACATGCAAGCTTTTATTAGACTACATTACAAGCTTCCATAAAAACTATACATACAAACTTCAAAGAGAGTTAAACTAAAATAAACATATATTCACATCAATTTAATAAAAAATAAGTCTGTAAAATCCCAGTAGCTCCATGACTCTGTCCTTACTGCCATTTTAACATTTAATCCTTAAAAAAAACTTACCAGCATCTATTTCCATGCTACTAGTACTTAATCTTTAGCTACTAGTATCTTTTCCATTGGTACTAGTACCTTTTTAAAAGATGCATAAATGTTAAATCGGCTTTCCATAACTAGTAAGATAAGAATTCTTACTAGCAAGATAAGAATTCTTACTAGCAATAATGTCAAAAGATACTAGTATCTAATAAATAATTACTAGTACCTTATGAATAACTACTAATATCTATTAAATAGGTACTAGTATCTACTGAATAAGTACCAGTATCTAATAAATAAGTATAGTATCTAATGAATGTTTACTAATATCACTATTGGAATAAATACTAGTCAGAAATTAATAGATGAAATCAAAAACAGAATAACTACTACCTGTTCAATTGAAGATATCTTTAACTTCATAAAGAACTAGTGGGAATGTATTTGGAGATATCTTCATTCAAACAGATCATTACATAAACATGAGTACCTCTCAACCGTCCATGATAATACAATAGATTAATATACTGAATGAAACTGATTGTTATAGGCCTAGCTGGCTTTGTATGTTGGCTCGATGATCTTGCTTATTGGTTACCATGATAACATAAGGAAAGATATGTTTAATATGACATTCATTTTGACAATATATATATAAAAAAAATTTTTATTTGATTATTGGCAGTTAGACCCAAAAACCAGTTAGTGCACACCAGCCAAACAACTACAACAAGAGAGTGTGCCTTGTTGGGGAGTATTTATAATTCCTTACAATAAACGAAGGTTTCTTATCAAGTTTAATAATGACGAATCATGGCCATCAGCTGTGCGCTTCACAAAATTTCCCTGGCTTAATGATCTTTCAACATAGCTGCATTTTCTGCAAATGTAACTGCCTCTGCCATATTGCACCTTCTTTCTCATCCCTTCTCCTAATATTCTAGTTTCCATATCCTTGGGCTATTTACGTTTCCTGTCTAATCTCTCTCTCATATTGTCACGGTCCAGGTGTGTGGAGGCAGGATGATGAGGACAACAAGGATATTTATTGTAGCGACAACAAAGGCAGAGACAGGCACACACTCGGGGTAACATTCACAATAACTGACCAACTAGAACACAAGAGACAGGAACAGATATAGGGCAGTTAACGAGGGACAGACAGGGGCTACCAGGATGATGAGGACAACAAGGATATTTATTGTAGCGACAACAAGGCAGAGACAGGCACACACTCGGGGTAACATTCACAATAACTGACCAACTAGAACACAAGAGACAGGAACAGATATAGGGCAGTTAACGAGGGACAGACAGGGGCTACAGAGTCCAGGGAGGTGACGATGGAGGGAGGAGCCAGGGAGATGACAGGAGGGAACCGGAGCAGGAGGAGGAGCCAGGTGGGACCCTGGCCACAGCTATAATAGCGGCCCACGGTGGAGCCGACGGAGGGAGGAGCCATGGAGGAGGAATGTCCACCGACTCCAGGGGGCCAACCAATGGCGGCGGAGCAGGTGGAGGAGGAGCCCGAGGCGGAGACGGAGAGCCAGTGAGCCTGGGGAATGCCGAGGATCCGGGGGGCCAGGGTGGAGCCGAGGGCTCTGGCGACCAAGGCGGAGATCCAGAGATCCGCGGCGGAGCGACTGAGGACCAAGGTGGAGCTGACGGGAGGAAGAAGCCCAACGGAGCCGGTAGGACAGAGCGACCAGGCACAGCCAGAGGAGAGGAGTCCAGAGGCAATGGCGGGTCGACGCCTGACCAAGGCGGAGCCGGAGGGACGAGGGAGCACGGTGGAGCTGATGGATCAATGGGTGACGGTGGAGGCGAGGGAGCTAGGAACCGAGGTGGAGCCACTGGGTCTATGGACCGAGGCAGAGTCCGGCCCTCAGAGGCTGGAGGCGGAGGCGAGGGAGACTCCGACCATGGTGGCGCTGGAGGAGGCCGGAGCGGGTGGGAGAGAGGGAATTTTTGAGGAGCAGGCATTGGAGAGAGCTCTTGGGCTGGAGCCCTTCCCGGGCAGAACCGGGGACCAGGAGCCCTTCCCGGGCTGGACCGGGGACCAGGAGCCCTTCCCGGGCTGGACCGGGGACCAGGAGCCCTTCCCGGGCTGGACCGGGGATCAGGAGCCCTTCCTGAGCTAAACGAAACATCAGGAGCCTTTCCTGGGCTAAACGAAACATCAGGAGCCCTTCCTGGGCTGGACGAAACATCAGGAGCCCTTTCTGGGCTGGACCGAGGATTCCACGGTCTCTCCTCCTCATGTACTGTGACCTCTGTGGTCGATTGGCCGAATACCTCCCGGAAGTGTCTCACAAAACCCTCCAGCGAGTGAATCCCCGGGCTCTGTGCAGTCCACAAGGCTTCGGCCCACTGCAAGGCTCGTCCAGACAGCAACGAGATAATGAATGACACTTTGGCCCGCTCAGTCACAAACAGGTGTGGTTGCATCTCCAGGTAGCGGGAACATTGCAGCAAGAACCCGCTGCTGAAGGCTGCCTCACCCAAAAAGCTGGCTGGCCGGGCCATGGGACAGGCGGCGTAATCCATAAAAAACAAAAAATCAAAACTGACAAAAACCGGAAAAAACAAACGAAGGGAAAGAGTAGTTGGTTCATTAATATTCAACATACTATTAGCAAACTGATCAGAAATGCAAATTTAAAAAGTACTATCTATTAAGTTCAGGACATCTTTGGTCTAAGAAGTTACTACTGTAGTATCTAAAATTAAGTACTAATTCTATTTTTTTCTTAACAAGTATTGAATACTAGTCACCATTGGAATAAGTTCTAGTATCCAGTGGCAGCTTCGGGATGGTTTTGATGGGGGTGCTAAGGGGGGCTTAACAGTTCAGAAGGGGTGCTAAAAAACTAATTAAACTGAGTGAAAGTAATGAACGCCTAGCTTCAGCTTCAGCAATCTAAATAGAATGCAAATTCAGCCACCTTTTGTTTCTTATATACAACAGCTTCGAAAAAGGCTAATTTTTTATATATTTTTTTCTGTGGTATTAAACTTCTCATATGCCACTGTTATTAGTAATATAACTTCAAATGCCAACAGCCAAATATGACACTTACAAATTAATACAATTTATGAACGCACATTCTTTTTTTCTTTTTTTCTTTTATTTATTTATTTATTTTTTACACATATCTATTTAGTCATTTTTTCTGACCATCAGGTGTCAGTCACTCTCAATGCCAACTGTCGGGAAAACATGGTATGGTAAATTCTAACCATTTTTTACAATGGATAAAGTGCCGACAATTCATACAACTATTTCCATACAGTGGCATAGTTGTGTTGTATCATGTGTCGACGATAGCCAGAGATATTGTCAAAAGCATCTAAAATTGGCAATATTAAGAGGATTTAGCATGTCCAATTAATGTGGGCCTGTTACATTCTTATTATTATTAGGCCTTATTATTAGGTTACTTTTATTATTAATTACATGAAATTATTGCCCCGCAATAATTTCATAGCGCATCACCGCATGACGCGCTGTGAGGATAATTAAAGTATAGGCTATTAGCTCACTCCTAATTGAAAATGTTTTTAATAAGTTTTTTTAAAACAGGTCTTTTCATTTATATAATGAATTATAGGCCTATAATTACAATTATTAACACTGCAGTCATCAATGAAAATTAAGAGCAGCTTTATTTCATGCACCGATTTTCAAAAACAACCTGTTTAACGCGAAATACGTTTATTCTCATGGTTTTCACTATACGGGCCACAAGAGAAATATTAAGGGAATAATTTAAGACAGTTATATACCGTTATCAGCATATGTTGAAGCAGTTTTGTCTCGTTGTCTCAGAGAATATGCGCCATTAATACAGCGTTAGAAAGCTCCTTCCGTTTTTTTACTTTCACTTTCTCTATAGTGAATTGACTGACGTTCATCGGCATAACTCTTGCGCACAGTTTGCACGTTGCTTGCTTGTGTTGCTTGACCCCTCCCCCATAATATCAACATATTAGGCACTTTTTAAAGATTTTTAATGTTTATTTTTCAATGTTAATGAAAGTGACACCAAAAAACAGGAACATCATTAGGAAATCCTTGGGGGTGCTCTGCCGGGGCTAAGCAAGTTTCTGATGGGGCTATAGCCCTGTCAAGCCCCGCCATAGCGCAGCAACTGCTAGTATCTAATAAATAAGAGCTAGCATCTAATGAATAAGTACTAGTAACTTTACAAAAGACACAAATTACCTAAAGAATAAACACTAGTACATAAAGAATAATGAATAAAGTCGTGACGTGTTGCCTAAAGAATAAGCACTAGTAGCTAATGAATAAGTACTAGTACCAAAGACTATAGAATAAAAGGGACTTAATGGAATAGATTCTAGTATCTAAAAAATAAGTAGTAGCATGAAAATAGATAGTAGTACGGTTTATAGATTAAATGTTAATACGGCTTGCCATATTCCATCCGGTCTCGCCTGTATAAAAACAGGTCTAGCCTCAAAGCTACTTAAAAATGTACGAACGCTACTATCACGAAGAAGAAGTAGCTCATGAATATTAATAACGTGACGTGATGTTCGGACAGCGAATTAGGAATCGCTCAAAACCGAAGGCTTGGCTCATTAATATTACAACTAGCACATGACTGGATGCCGTTAAGACGTTAACCCAGCAACGTCAGCACGATCTGATTAATAATCTATGAACCAAGCCCTCGCTGTAGTAGAGAGTATAAGGGCAACCGTCTGAAAAACATGTACGCTTCCGGTTCAAAGTAGAGCGTGATGCTGCTGCCGCATTATCACTTTGAACCGTGAATCATTGAAAGTCCATACGTTGAAGAGTAAGGTCAGTAAATTAATAGTATAATTACATAGGTTCATCAGGTTTGTCTCAGCGATGGTTCTTGTAAAGCGACTGTAAAGAGAGTTTAAGTGTTGTAGTTGTTATGATATGCTCGTTACAGTAATCTGACTCTACCAGCAGTGAGTCACCTTTATGAATCAAAGTGCAGTAAATGGCTTGCACGATTTTATTGCCACATTATGTTGCATTAATCTTCATTTAGATTAAATGTCAATCCTGTATTAACAACTATGACTTGTTTAAGAAAATTGCAAACATATGTGTGACCCGGGAAGCCTTGTGACATGACTCGTGCGTTATAGTTATTGACATTAATGGTCATAAATTTAATGCATGCCTTTATTTACCCCGCATGTTTTTTTTTGTGTTTTTTTTTTTCGTTTTATCTACCAGTGTAATCTAGATAATGGCTGAAAAGACTGATCTCCCTGTCATCCTGGGTCATAATTTATGGGGAACCTTAACACCTCATTTTGGGTCGGACCTGCATCATCATGATGTGGCTGATGGGCCAGACAGGTAATGCATATTAATACATTAAGTAATACATGCTCCAGAATGTAGTTTGTAAAACCGCTTTGTCTGCTGCAGAATATATATGGATTACAACGCTACCACACCAGTCGATCCAGAGGTGGTCAGGGTTGTTACTGATGCTTTAACTGAAGCCTGGGGAAATCCCAGCAGTAATTACCTACCAGGTATGAGGCTCTCAAAGATAGATGTTTGGCAGACTTCTAACATGTCACATTTAAAGGCATAGTTCACCCAAAATAGAACATTTTCTCATCATTTATTCATCCTCCTCATGTCCTTCTAAAACTGTATGCATGTGTTTTTTTTGTGGAACACAAAAAATATATATATTTTGAAGAAGGGTGGGATGCAAACAACAGTGATGCCACTGACTTCCATTGTATGGGGAAAAAAAACTTCAAATATAAGATTCTTAAAATACAATAAAAAGTATTTTATGTTCCACAGAAGAAAGTGAAACAGGTTTGGAATGACATGAGGGTGAGTAAGTTATTATTATTTTTGGAAACAGTATCTCATATTGTTTTCTTCTGATCTTAGGTCTGAAAGCCAGAGACATCATTTACCATTCCAGAGACACTATTGCCAGGATGGTTGGTGGAAAAGCAGCAGACATTATTTTTACTTCAGGAGGAACTGAGGTGAGGGTTTCAAGTGTCACAGTTCAAATAGAAATTCATCAAATTATCTTTTTTTTCTTTTACATTTTTTTTTTCTTAATTTTTTTTTAATAGCAGGATAGTGAAGGCCCTAAAGGCTATTGCGTATGGCTAATTCATATTTCCACCCTCCCCATCTAGATTTGTAACATGCTCAAAGTAAAAAAAAAAATGCAACTTTTACGTTTACCATTGACTATGAATCGCAAACAAGCAGACATTTTGCATGACATGTTGTTACGTAGGTGCTGCTGGTGGAAAAATTGACAATTTGTATGACATAACATTGAAGACATGTCAATTATAATAATAAACACATTCGAATTCAGCTTGTGTTCAAGTTGGCCATTCAAATTTGTGGTGTTGACCAACAGAAGCCTGCTTGGTTTGAAAGTAACTTCTGTATGAGTGGTGTCTCATGCATTATTACACTGTTGATACTGGACAACTATTTTGCCTGCTTCACTGTGTGAACTACACTGAAACCTTAAATATTGTTTTCTTATGATAAATGGCTTTTGTTATTCCTCATCTGTAGTTGTTGCTTTGGATACAAATGTGTACTTAATACATGAAATGTATTAATTTATTACACTGAAGGCCTGTTCACACCAAGATGAATTTTCAGTGTGAAACTTTTGTTCGAATTGCTTAATCACTGCTGTTACATAAAACCACAGCTTGGTGAATAGCAGACATTGAATCTAGAACCTGCTATCTTGTCATTGGACAGTTGTATTTGGTGTTGCCTGATAAACACTATAGCAAATACAAAAATCTGAACTGCTGTACACGTTTACACGAAAACATGTACAGTACTGTGCAGAAGTCTTATGCCATTAGTATTTTAGCCAACAGTAACAACAAAAAAAGTTTTAAGTCAGTAATTTCTTACCATCATCCAATTCGTCTGCAATGACATGAAAAAACTGGGACAGACTAAATCCCGAAGAACTGTGGCAACGTTTTCCAAGACACTCAGCGACGAAAAAAACCTACTGGCAAAGCTACCGCACTGTGAAAAGTTTTAGGCACTTGTGTAAAAATGCTGCAAAGATGCTTTCAAAAATAATGTAATAGATTTTATTATCAATTAACTTCTATTAACTAAATCAAATCAATATTTGGTGTAACCATACTTTTGCTTTTAAAACAGCTTTTGTCCTGTGTACACTTGTGCATAGTTCTTCAGGTAGCTTTGCAGGAAGGTTTCTTCCTTTGCCACAGTTCTTCTGGATTTAGTCTGTCTCAGTTTTTTCTGTTTCTTCATGTCATTGCAGACAGACTGAGATCAGATATCGGATTATTACTTTTAATGGTAAAAGGAATGTCTGGAAATGTAAACTGACATTTCCTACTGACACACTAAAGCAAAAGATAGAAGTAACTGACTTAAAACCATTTTTTGTTGGTGAAATACTAATAGCTGAAGGCATCTGCACAGTACTGTATAATTGTTTGACTTCAATTCTTTTCTGTGACAAGCGAGTATCAGAAACATAATGATACATGCCGCTTTGTGTCCTGGAGTAACCGGGGTACTTTCTTTTTCATCTGAGATTTTCAGACAAATCTCATGAGAAAATCTGACTAAATCATGCCAAACATTCATGCTGGTGTGAACAGCTTTTAACATTGTAACACTATCTGTAACCCTTTATGTGTCTGTCCTAATGGTGCATGCCGCTTGTGTTGAGAGGTGCGTTGAATCCCTGGTGAAAGTCGTGTGAAAGGACCTTTACTTTCACTTGATCTTTATTTAGCTCTCTTTTTCTCCTGGACTTTCAGGCCAATAATCTGGTGTTTCACACAGCTGTGGAGCACTTCAGAAAGAGCAAGAATTCTGCAGAGGGAGGCACAAACAGCAAGCAGCTAAATGGAAGCGGCTCCCTGCCCCATATTATCATCTCCAATGTAGAGCATGACTCCATCAAACTCACAGCTAAACACTTGTTAAAAGAGGGCAAAGCAGGTTAGCAGACCTGGGTTTTATGTCTAAAACTTTAAATGGAGGCATTTTTCTCCAAAGGTTTAGCTTGAGAAAGTGGGCATCACTTCATTGTACTCCTGTAACTGGGAATATTGCATCCAAAACGTGTCCTTTGCTATTTGTTTTAAAATATGAATATGACTAAAGATCTTTGTGCTCTGATTTGACCTGATTGAATTCTCGTTGTAGATGTCACATTTGTGCCCGTTTCCAAGGTTACGGCACGGGTGGAGGTTGAGGATGTCATTGCAGCGATTCGTCCCACCACCTCCTTGGTGTCGATCATGCTGGCCAATAATGAGACGGGCATCATTATGGTGAGAATGTTGCCTTGACAACAGTCCCAGTGATGTATTGGACTATTTCATATAGTTAAACAATCACACAACTGTGTTTTGGCCATTGGGACGAGGCTTAATTGCGAGCGTGATATTGCTTTTATACAACATTTCATAAACATGATGTTAATAAAGATTAACTTACATTGTAGACACAGTATGGCTATTTAACTTTTGCTTTGCCAATAAAAATACAGTAGTTTTTTCGGCCATGATTTAGCATAAACACTTAAAGTAACCAATGGGATTCTCCTTTCAACAGCCAATTAAGAATATTTGTCAGAGGGTGAGGGAAGTAAACAAACAGAGGGCAGCATCGGCTCCCAAAATCCTCCTGCACACCGATGCAGCACAGGCTATTGGAAAGATACGAGTGGATGCACATGAGCTGGGAGTAGACTATATTACCATTGTAGGACACAAGGTAAGTAACAAGAGATGCTGTTGATATATCATATCTCTCCAAACAAAGAAAATTAGAGATGCCAATCCTGCTAATGCTGTGTTTCAGTTTTATGGCCCTAGAATTGGCGCTTTGTTTGTGAATGATCCTGGAACCACAACCCCGGTTTACCCTCTGTTTTTTGGAGGAGGACAAGAGTGCAACTTCAGACCAGGGTATGACATGGTTTATTGTGTGATGGGGTTTCATGTATAGGTGATTAATTATTGAACAGAATTAAAACAAGTATGTTACTGACTCTGAAATCAATACTGTTGTTATCTCTTTATTTCTCAGAACTGAGAATACAGCAATGATAGCCGGTCTGGGAAAGGTAAAACCCACTTTGTATCATAAGCGTCATTTATTTCTTACCTAATTTTTAGAATAAGTTGACTGTTTGGACATGTAACATGGGTAACTAGATTTATTTATTTATTTATGGTAGTAAGGTGACTGTTTGTACATGTATAACTGTAAAAAATAATTATTTTCAGTGCTATGTTGCCTAAGCTTGTAACATGCAAATTTGTTTTACATAATTTTTTTTTTTTGGGAAAAGGCTGCAGAATTGGTAAGTTCAAATCTAGCAGAGTATGAAGCCCATTTCCTGGACATCCGATGTTATCTGGAGCAGAAGCTGCTTGTAAGTCCTGTTTCTGCCTTATAGCTGACTGGTACAAATGTTTCAGTGGACATTAAATGTAGCCTGTATTTATATAGAGATTTCTTTTTTTGTGTGTATTTATTATTCTTTTTTTCTTTTTTT